AAAAATATAAAAAGTTAGCCAGGCGTGGTGGCACACGCCTGTAGTCCCAGCTACTTGGGAGTCTGAGGCAGGAACATCACTTGAACCTGGGAGGCGGAGGTTGCAGTGAGCCGAGACTGCGCCACTGCACTCCAGCCTGGGCACAGTGAACAAAACCAAGTCCCTGCTGTCTGAGGGAATGTGCATTTCTTTTCATGTTTCCCTGTACAGGGATCAGAAACAGGGTAACTCTCCTGGCCTCTTACTCCCAGGAGGGTGGGGACAGCCATGGGCTCCCATCTATGAATTGGATAGAATTGGGCTTTTGAATGGCTGCAATCCTTGGGGATTTGCTATTTTCCTTCCTCTCCTCCTCAGTCACTCTCTTAGTGTGTCTAAGTTCTTTTTTGTTGTTAGTGTTGTTCTTGTAGAGACGGGTGTCCCGCTGTGTTGCTCAGGCTGGTGTCTAACTCCTGAGAGCTCATGCTGTCTTCCTGCCTCGGCCTCCCACAGTGCTGGGCCACTGCCTAAATTCCTTTTTTTTTTGAGCTTGAGTCTTGCTCAGTTTCCCAGGCTGGAGTGCAGTGGCACGATCTCGATTCACTGCAACCTCTGCCTCCCGGGTTCAAGCAATTCTCCTGCCTCAGCCTCCTGAGTAGCTGGGATCACAGGCACGCACCACCATGCCCAGCTAATTTTTGTATTTTCAGTAGTGATGGGGTTTTATCATGTTGGCCAGGCTGGTCTTGAACTCCTGACCTCAGGTGATCTACCTGCCTCGGCCTCCCAAAGTGCTGGAATTACAGGCATGAGCCACCGTGCCTGGCCCTACTGCCTACATTCTTAAAGGTGGAGGAGTTTTGGCAGGAAGGAGGGATCGTTTGTCACATGCTACAGGGAAGTAGGTGAACTGAGGGAAGACTGACCACTGGCTTTGGCATCTTAATGAACACAATGGGGGTGGGGGACAGAAGCCACACTTCAAGGAGGCTTGAGTGAGGTCATCCTGAAAGTTTGGCAATGAAGGGAAGAGGGGACAACTGTGTGAGGCAGCAGGGTCAGGGGACAGTCTTTTGGGATGAGAAAAGCTTTGGTATTAGGCTGAGGGGAGACAGTGAGACATACAGAGATAACAGGGTAACTCTCAGAGAAAAAGCACAGGACATGCTTCCAAAACATCTCAGCTGTAGGATCCAATTAGAAACCTCTTTTGGCCGTGCGCGGTGGCTCACACCTGTAAACCCAGCACTTTGGGAGGCCAAGGTGGGCAGATCACAAGGTCAGGAGATCGAGACCATCCTGGCTAACATGGTGAAACCGTCTCTATTAAAAATACAAAAAAAATTAGCTGGGCGTGGTGGCACGTGCCTGTAGTCCCACCTGGTTGGGAGACTGAGGCAGGAGAATCGTTTGAACCTGGGATGTGGAGGTTGCAGTGGGCAGAGATTACCCCACTGCACTCCAGCCTGGGCGACAGAGCAAGACTCTTGTCTCAAAAAAAAAAAAAAGAAAGAAAAAAGAAACCCCTTTTATAGGGGTTATGCAGCATTCCTCAAGGTGGGGGACTCCCTGGGCCTACCCACTAGTCCCAAATCTGAGGGTGAGTTTGGAGTTAGAGACGCACAGGCCTGCAGCCACGTCATTACCAGGCCTCCCTCCAGCAGCAGTTTCCGATTCTTGCGGGCTTATGCTGCCACCTGCTGGAAGCATGACAAACGTGGCGACAACCATTTGCTGAAGAGAACAATCACTTTTCTAAAATGGCTGCAAACCCCATCAAATCAGAAACTAGACAGTCAGCAGAGAGGACTGTGACTGTGACTTCAGGCCCCAATCGCAAGCCCTGGTGTCTTTCTGGCCCTGCAGGGTAACCACCTTCCATCCTCATCTTCATTCTTTTTTTTTTTTTTTTTTTATTAGTTGGAGTTTCATTCTTGTTGCCTAGGCTGGAGTGCAATGGTGCAATCTCGGCTCACCGCAAACCGCCTCCTGGGTTCAAGCGATTCTCCTGCCTCAGCCTCCTGAATAGCTGGGATTACAGGCATGTACCACCACACCTAGGTAATTTCTGTACTTTTAGTGGGGATGGAGTTTCACCATGTTGGCCAGGCTGGTCTCGAACTCCTGACCTCAGGTGATCCACCCAACTTGGCCTCCCAAAGTGCTGGGATTACAAGTGCGAGCCACTGCGCTCAGCCCTCATCTTCATTCTATAGGAAATTGGCACATGTGATTAGAAAAATCAGTGAGAAATCATAGGACTGGACCATCTCTACTTTCCTTAAGGAATGGAAAAAGAAAAATCAAGAGATAGGAACCTTAGTGTCCTGCCCTTGCCTTGCCTCACAGGTTAGCAGAGGGGCTGAGAAAAAAGCCTAGCTGCTGAGCATAGTAACAGCAAGTGCCTCTTTTTCAACAGCAACTTGATAGAAATGCAAGCCCCACCTTGGGAGCCATGAACTCTTCCTTCGACTCAAGCCCTCCCTTGAACACAGCAAGGGAACCTACCAACAATGCACTCCCACAGGCTCTGCAAGTACCGGAAAAACAATGGCTGTGCTGCACCAGAGCCGCCAGCAATCCCGGCCCGTTCCTAGACAGCCACACAGCCTGTAGATCACCGCTTACTTTAACCCATGGCTCTCCCAAAAATTGCAAAAAGAAACTGTCCATGACCTATTGTCACCTGAGTGAAGGCTGCAGGGGACCGAGAGTCCTGGAGGCATCATTTGATAGATTCCAGAAGACCTAGACACCAAGGTCACAAGGTTTTTCAGTTTCCGTTACCCAGGCTGGAGTGGTGGTGTGATCATAGCTCACTGCAGCCTCCAACTCTTGGGCTCAAGCAATCCTCCCACCTCAGCTTCCTGAGGGCTACAGGCTTATGCCACCATGGCCACCTAATTTTTATTGTAGAGATGGGTCTCAAACCATCTCCCCACCCAGGCTTCCCAAGGTGTTGTGATTACACGTATGACCCACTGCACGAAGCCTCACAAGATTTTTTTGACAGTTCCCAGGCTGGAGTGTAACGGCAAGATCTTGGCTTACTGCAACCTCCACCTCCCAGGTTTCGAGCTCCCTGCCTCAGCCTCCCAAGTAGCTAGGATTACAGTACAGGTATGTGCCACCATGCCCAACTAATTCTGTATTTTTAGTAGGTAACAGGGGTTTCTCCACATTGGTCAGGCTGGTCTCAAACTCCCAGCCTCAGGTGATCCACCTGCCTCAGCCTCCCAAAGTGCTGGGATTACAGGTATGAGCCACTGTGCCTGACCCGTCACAGATCTTTCTTGAAAGCAACTTAGGACAGCCGTGGAAATAACTTCATGCTTATGTTCATACTATCTGCCTTGCTGCAACTTCAGAGCTAACAGACTTAATCCATGACACCCGACGGGCTTCAATTAACTGAAAGTCTTCAATTCATTGGCTACAAGGGCTTCCTTTTTTTGTCTTTATGTTTGCCTCATGCGAGATCCTCCCACTTTTTTCTCATAGCTACTACCCTCACTGACCACCTTCCTTTCTAGAGCATGAGGGTCTTATACCTGGATTGTCACCACTCATCCCCTGGACATTGAACAGGGCTGACAAGCAGGTGATAAGCACAAGGATCTTAAGATTCCAATATCCTACTCAACCAGGGTAAACCCAAAGCAGCTGTCTTCAGGTTGCCTTCTAAACTTACCAGTTAATTGATTGCACTGGCCTGACCAGAGCAGGCTTTTGGACTTGGCTACCTACGTTGATTTTTAGGCACCGAGTTTCAGCTAAATTCATCACAATGTTGATAGTCCTTTGACTCAGACCTTGCTCACGAGCCAATTACTTATGACCAGAAATAATAATATACATAGTGCAGAATGGATGGCTTTTTTGGGCTTTACTGGATTAACAGTTTCCTCCTCAGCCCCAGGGTTCATTGGTCTATCCATCTAGCATGAGTTCTATTCCAGAAGTGCTTCTTCGTAGTCTCGCCCTGTTGCCCAGCATGGAGTGTAGTGGTGCATGCCCAGCTCACTGCAACCTCTGCTTCCTGGGTTTGAATTGACTCTCCTGCTTCAGCCTCCTGAGTAGCTGGGACTACAGACGCACACCACCATACCCAGCTAACTTTTATACTTTTAGTAGATAGGGTTTTACTATGTTGGCCAGGCTGGTCTTGAACTCCTAACCTCAAATCATCTGCCCGCCCTGGCCTCCCCAAGTGCTGGGACTGCAGGCGTGAGGCGCTGTGCCTGACCCTGATGCTCTTAACTGCTTGTCCTAAGAAACCTATTATATTCCCATACTTTCCAGAGTCGTATTCTGGACATAATCCTCAGGCTTGCTACAAGTGGGAAAAGCTGCAGCAACCTTCAAGCCAGCACCAGGGCTGTAGGAGTGGGTCCCCTCACCAGCATTTCAACCAAGTTGTGGGCCGGGACACTGGAAATGCACACACTGAGCCATTTCCATTGGGAAGGATGAAGCAAGTGGCAGAGCTGGCTATGCCATGCTCTCCAGTGACATTCCAGGGGAAACACTCTTTAGGAAGTAACACGTCTGGCACCAGAGTTGACTTTTAATTTGTCCTAAAGCTGCTGAAGCAAAAACCATGATAAAACATTTTGCTTTCTTTTTACAACCCCCAGAACGCAAAAAACAAACAAAAAAAAACAAAACCAAAAAAACCACAACAACAAAACCCAAACTATTTGTAGGAAAAAATGGTTTTGTACATGGGATGAAACAATATAAATTCAAAACTTACAGATAAGGGTTAGCTCTATCACTCAACTCTTTAAAAAGTTTATACGAATATCCAGTCAAAACCAACAAGGTATTGCCCTTGAAATGTTATCTATACGATTTCCAAGGAGACCACAGGACTGTATACTGTCTTGGAATGTCCTCAGAAGGCTCTGTCATTGATCAGGTAACAGTAAAAACCCCAGAGTCCTTTCTTTCAAATGGAAAAGGGAAAGCAGAGGAACGGAAGCTATTCAAACTTCGTCTTCTTTCCTTGTGGCTTGTGGTCACCTCCTCCTCTGCCTCCTCGGAAGCCACCTCGCCCTACGGGGGGAAGGCAAGATGCTATTAAAGAATGCATACAAAGGTCCTCCTCCCCCCCGCAGTGATTAGGAACCCTGACAGGGTACAGGGTTCTCAAGCATACATGCTGTGTGGCATCCAGTACAGACTGAAGAAGTCATCCCTGTGAGCCTTACCTCCAAATCCTCCTCGGCCTCCTCTGCCACCAAACCCTCCTCGGCCTCCTCTGCCACCACCTCGGCCTCCAAAGCCACCTCTGCCTCCACCACGACCCCCGAAGCCACCTTCACCCTTAGGTTTGGCCCAGTCCAAGGTAACTTTATTTCCATCAATTTCACCATCTTCCATGGCCTCCTTGGCAGCTTTGGCATCCTCCTCACTGTTGAAGTCTACAAAGCCAAACCTAGAACACCAAATGAAATTGCCCATTATAAAAAGCACCTGCTGCACATGTTCCAGGTGAACTGCACATGCTGGGAGTCGTCCCATGGAAAGTAGTCTTTTTTAGTTGGGAAGAGATACCAGTGACAGAGTAGCTCTCTATGGAAAACTAACTGGTGTGACAGCTTGAACCCCAGAATGTCTCACAAAACAGCCAAATATACCTCTGTAAAGACAGAAGGTAAAATAATGACAGTTCTGTGAATTCTCTCTTCTTCTCGTGCGAATCCATAAACTGCCATCGATAGACAGAAAGGAGCTCAATGAGAAGACACGTTAGACTCGAGGGTCTCCACAACAAGGCACTCATGATTCTTGTCCTTACCCTTTGGAGGACCCAGTTTCCCGGTCAGTGACTATCCTTGCCCGAACAGAGCCGTCAAATGACTCCTTTAATGTCTCTTCGGTGGTATCCTCAGACAGGCCTTTGACAAACAGCGTTTTGGATGGCTCTGGGGAGAAAAAAAATTGTGACTTTATGTGAAGTCACAGTTTGTACATAGTAACAGTGAAATCTGCACAATGCCTAGTATGACTATTGGCCAAGAATGCTTGTCTTAGTGGAAAAGCAGTTAAAAGCAACTAAGCCAACTAGTTTTAATTCAAATAAGGCTGTTTTGAGTTTCTATTTCTAAATTGCCACTGCATAGTTGATCTCCTGCCCCAGATCTAATATGGAAAGTGGGAGAAGCAACCCTGGCCAAGTGCTGCCCACTGGAGGGGCAGGAAATCACAGGCAAATCTGCTGCTTGAGTTGACAGCTGGATCAGAACTTGACTATCTAGAGGAATTTTCTTGAGATTTCATCAATTATTTCTCAGGTAATCAGTCATCATATCCAGTTATTCTTCACTCAGTAGCAACAGAAAACACAATTTGTGCAAAAAATAAACACTGAAAGCACTGAGAGTGCCACCCCCAACCACAGCATCCTATCCAGGTTAACTTACGGCTTCTGGCATTAGGTGATCCCCTGGGTCCTTGCAACTCCAGCCTGATGGCTCTGCCCTCAATTTCCCTTTTATTACAGGAATTTAAAGCTTCTTTAGCATCTTCAAATGAAGCAAACTCTATAAATGCATACCTGAGGATGAACAGTCAATGCTTAAAGTAAGCTACCAGGCACATGTTCCTTCTCTGTCACATGATGCTGCCAAGCCCCTCCCCTCAAGTCTATACCTAAATGATATTATTTTATACCCATTTATGTAGCTAAAATGATTTGGCTTTTCTGACAGGATCACACATGACCTTACCTTCCTTTAGACCTGTAAGACACACACAGACCGTAACTGATGACATAAACGTGTTCATTATCTTACCCTTTAGATTTGCCATTTTGGTTCTGGGGTACTTTAATAAAAGTTGCTTTTTCAAATACTTCCTGAAGAGTTTCTTCTGTTGCACTGTAGGAGAGGTTGCTTAAAACCAGAGTTTTTGATTCACCTGCAGACAGAGATGCCACATTCTTAAAACTCTGACACAATGGTTCCCAGCTTTGTTCACAGCAGTACTATCTTATTCCTAAGAATTTCAGTGCTTGAAAGAGTTATTACACAAATAACTGATGTAGGTGAAATCCACTTCTGTTACTCAACATATTGAGTACCTAGTACATGTTGCAATGTCCTGCTGGTTGTTCTTTATGTATAGGCTGACTACTGGTCTGTTTTCCTAGAACAATAATCTGAGTTCAAAACACACATGGTCGAAGTCATTTAAAGTACAAAACATACCTACAACGGAAGCTTGATTTGCCTACTGTGTTCCAATGCAAAATGATTTTATTACTATTCCAAATAAGAGTGTGACTAGAAGTATAATGTCCTTGATCTTCACCTACATTTAAGTAACTTTGATTAAAAAGTACTTAGGAAGGGCCGGGCGCGGTGGCTCAAGCCTGTAATCCCAGCACTGTGGGAGGCCGAGGCGGGTGGATCACGAGGTCAAGAGATCGAGACCATCCTGGTCAACATGGTGAAACCCCGTCTCTACTAAAAATACAAAAAATTAGCTGGGCATGGTGGCACGTGCCTGTAATCCCAGCTACTCAGGAGGCTGAGACAGGAGAGTTGCCTGAACCCAGGAGGCGGAGGTTGCGGTGAGCCGAGATCGCGCCATTGCACTCCAGCCTGGGTAACAAGAGCGAAACTCCGTCTCAAAAAAAAAAAAAAAAAAGTACTTAGGAAGTACAAAGACACAAAGGATTTCTCTCTAATTCTGGAACCCTGTAACAAGCCTAATTTCTTACCACTCCAAGTGCTATTCTTTCCACCTCTATAGTCTTGATTTTGACCTTTCTCTCCAGTATAATACAGGGAAATGGATCGCCCATCGATCTCTGTTCCCTGCTTTTCTTCAAAGGTTTTCTCTGCATCAGCTTCTGTCTTAAATTCAATATAAGCAATCCTGCAATGGAGGGAGAAGAACTGGTGAATTTAAAAACCTTATCAACACAAATGCTTTTACCTCAGCAACACAGAACTTGCTTCAGATCTGAGTACAATAAATGCCATTAGTTTTATGCCAACCAAAATGCCAACTTCCCTTATCTTCTAATTTTCAACCAAAACTTGAGCTTCCGCTTTCCCACTAAAAAGTTTTACAAAAACTCAGTTTTCTTCAGCTGAAAGCATTGCTACTACTTACAAAAATTATTTATTATAGGCTAGGCACATATCTTGCTCCTTTATATGTATTAGCTTGTCTTTTAAAATCACCCTATGAATATGTTATCCCCACAGTACAGATGGGTAAATTGAGGCACAGGTTTACAGGTTAAATGGCCCAAGATTACACACCTAAGAAAATCAAACCAACATTTCCTTTGTTAATACAGGGAAGTGCATTAATGTTATAAAAACCCCAACATTGTTCAATAGACAGAACATACCCTTTACTTTTCCCATCCTTGCTGACTAATCTGATCTCCGCAGCATCTTCAAACACTTCTTTTAATTCATCCTGAGTGACTTTGTAAGGGAGATTTTTAGCCAAAAGTGTTCTCGCATCTCGTTCTAGATTAAAAAATAAAAATTAGCTGTAATGGCCTAAAAAAAAACCCGAACGTTTGGAGCGACAATAAAAAAAGGGGGGGAAAACAGACATAGCTCTAGTCAACAAATAATTTGAGATCCCACGATATACACGGCTCTGTGCTAAATATGGAGATACCGTGGTGGCAACACACAAGTGGTCCCTCTATGTTGTTACAGCTGATGTCAAACTATCTGTTCAAACTAGAGTTCAACCTAGAGTAGGTGTGCATGCATTATTTTTAGAAACAAAAAATATATACCAATTTAAAATATTACAACTGTATAGAGAAAAAAAGCAAAGGATTCAAACAGTAATTAGGGACCTAAGCTAGTTTCAGTGAAGAAAGACCCCTTTACATTAATTTAGGTGCATCCAATCTTATTCTCAATGAAAGTGCTCGTTTGCCTAACTCAGGAATTTACACTATAACACTAGCAAGCAGCACTTAGTACTCTTGTAAACACTGTAACTCATTAAATCCCCACATTAAGAAGAAACCAAGGGGAAATTTTTTTTTTTTTAAATAAAAGGAAACAAACATAAATGGGTTACAAAGCGTTTTCCCTAGCAGTCTAGCGCCTGAGTTTGCTGCATCATCTCCTAAATCATTACATACCTTTCTTACTGTCTTTGCCTTTTGGTTTCTCTAGTTTAATTTCATTGCCAAAGACTTTCAAACCAGTAAGTTCCAAGGCTTTTTCCAGGTCTTCAGCAGATTCAAAATCCACATAACCAAATTTCCTTCAAGGTGAAGAGGAAGGCAAAATTCCAACAGGTAAAAACACAAATAGAAATCCACAATATGTATTCCAGACAAATGGGATGGTGCAAACAAAGATCACATTAAAAAGCACCCCTGGTATTAGCAAAATAAAGTCAAGGCTCTGCAAATTGTAGCTACAGAACAAGGTCTTAGTATGAAGACATGACACGCACGTTAACCTTTGAGGTCTTCATTACTAGCTAAATTGCTTGTAACAATTCACCATAGCAGCAGAACACCTATAAGCACTAATACAGGAGAATCCTGTCTGGATAAAAGCATTTTCTATGACTAGTCAAGTCTAACAGTTTTAGGTACTTCCAAAAAAATAAACACCAAATTATTATTTTAAATTGAGATGGAGTCTTGCTCTGTTGTCCAGGCTGGAGTGCAGTGGCATGATCCTGGCTCACTGCAACCTCCATCTCCCAAGTTCAAGCAATGTTCCCAACACCAAATTATCAAAACTTGCTGGCTGGGTGCTGTGGCTCAGGCTTGTAATCCCAGCAGTTTGGGAGGATGAGGTGGGCAGATCACGAGGTCAGGAGATCGAGACCATCCTGGCTAACACGGTGAAACCCTGTCTCTACTAAAAATAAAAAAAATTA